GGTCATCTTTCAGAAGGTCATGACTACTTTTACTTTTTCCTTTAAAAGACTACACAAAACAATTTACATGAAAATTTAAATATTTTAATTTGGGCAGAAATGCAATATATATTTTAGCCTTGAAATGGATTTAAAAAATTAACCTTAAAATTGTTTATTCCTATATATAGTCTAAATGCTGTCAAGAAATGAATAATCAGATATAATATTGCATCAGTCAACAGACAAAATTAAAAGATTATTCTGTACCTGAGTAACTTGGTTTGTTGCTTCCTCCTCTTCTTCAGCTTCTTCGCCAAATGACAACAGACTGAAGTTCCTTGATGATAAACATTGTTAGTCATTATGTATTATGTATAATTTAATACAACCTCTTAGATTTGATTCTAGCCAGCGTACTTACTTTGTGGCTTTTGATTGTGATTTCTTCAATTCTTCTTTTCTTTCAAATTTTGAATTTTTTGTTTCACGTGGTACAATATCATCAAAAGGAGAACGTAGAACCTTATAAAAACGTATTGTAAGAATTAGAAAATGTGACATACATTAAAAAAATTATATTTAACAAGAAACTGAAATACCTCAGTGGTTCTTATCTTGTGTGGCTTCAATGGTCTTTCATTACAATCACACTCAACCTCTGCCAGTCTCAACATATTATACACAGTGTCACCTGTTACCTGTTAAATGACAAAAGGAATACAAATGGAAACAAAGATAATAATAAGATACTCATACCTTTATGAATGTAATTAAATGCATTTTCTTTTTACCTTCCCAAATATAGTATGTTTATTGTTGAGCTCATCAGCACGTGCTAGAGTAAAGAAAAACTGACTTCCATTATCATGTGGCCCGGCATTAGCCATGGCAACCAGACCTCTGCGAATAAAGCGCAGCCTAGAGTGAAATTCATCCTAGAAAACATATTTTTGAAATGGTCACTCAAAAATATCCAATGATAAAAAGATTGCAACATTCATCTTCTCGTAATGAATGAGGGTAAAGCACACTGGCACACTAAAGTACAGTTCTTGGATATAATGGTGTATTAAGATGGCATCTGACCTTAAATGGGTGGCCATAAACGGATTCTCCACCTTCCCCTGTCCCTGTGGGATCTCCACCCTGGATGATAAAGTCTGGAACAACTCTGTGAAATACTGTGCCATTGTAGTATCCTAAAACGCACAGATTAAAAAGTGCATGGGTGCATTATTTTTGTATTTTGCAAATTATGCTTTTAGACTATACACAGTGCCAATTTTCTGTGAAAACGAAGATGTCACATGTTTCAGTCCAGTATTACCTTCCATACAAAGCTGCACAAAGTTTCTACATGCTTTTGGCGCTTCTTTTGACCACAACTCAATGTCAATGTCTCCTGCTGTGGTCTTGAGCAGAACCTGAGAGGAAGAAAATGAAGAGTCCAGTTCTCTGATTACGGTAAATTAGTAGTTGATAGGCCTACGGGATTAAATTTACCATATTGAGTTTTACCTTTCCATGTGTTGGTGGCTCTTGGATGTAAATATTGCTCATCTTGGAATAATTTAAAGATCAAAAACCATAGGAATGTGAAGACAGTGGGGCAAGTAGGAGACAATATCTCGATTTTTCATGAAAAACAAAATATTACTGTGCTACCCCCATGGAAGTATAATAAGATCCATGGTTGACCCACTCAAGGCGCATGAAATCAGGGGTGTAAAATTAAATGACATGTTTTATTTATATTCTGTACTATCCTGTGGAATGTATTTTGTTCTCTGCAAATAGATAAATCAATCAGCGTAACAAAAGAGGGGACAAATTACACACATTAGCAAATGTTCACTAAGAAATGCTGGTAATAAACTTTCTATTCCCTAGGCCAAATATATTGGTTTGGTCCTTGTGTCTCATGAAAAAAAAGTCGTGAGAAACAACGTCGTTGACCTTTCTCCGGTCCTATCTTCGCCACCGCAGAAACAAATAAAGCTTCCATTGATGTTTAATACCAACTGTCAAAGTATTTGAAATGATAATAACATCAATAAAATACAATATAATAAATCTAACTTTAAACCAAAACTTTAATTCGATACAAACATACTGTACAGATTTTCCATTCCGACAGGGGGCGGTAAATGCCCCTTTAGGCCATCCCAACGCAGATAAACTACAGCAATGGCGGCTGCATCTGAAAACAGCGCGGATCTGAAGCGAAAAGCAAGTCACAAAGATGAAGAGGCAGATGGAGAAGAAGGTGATGAATGGGTCGGGCCCATGCCAAGCGAAGCTACGAAAAATAAGAAAAGAAAAGGTTGGTATTCTTCAACGTGTAAACCGCCGGATGAGCTTACTGACCAACTAGCGAGGCTGCAAGCTATCAGAAGTTTTGTCTAGATATTATTGACTTCTCACTTTATTTTTTTAGTTTTGGAATTTGAAAGTGTTTACCTGGATAATCTTCCATCGGCTGCGATGTATGAACGAAGCTACATGCACAGAGATGTAATCACGCATATCGTGTGCTCCAAGTACGTCGTAGTCATTGATATTTTGCATTATTCGCTATATTATATGTCTTTGTTTTTCGGTATATGCTTACAACACGGGCAAACACCAGTTCTTCTTACTTTTGTAGGACTGACTTTGTCATCACAGCCAGCCAAGATGGTCATGTCAAGTTTTGGAAAAAGAAGGAAGATGAAGGCATTGAGTTTGTTAAACATTTTAGAAGTCACCTTGGTATTACACTTTTCTTTCTTTGTATATTGTACACTATACTGTATTTAAACCGTTTTTACATTGATCTGTAATGTATTTCAGGTGTAATCGAAAGCATTGCTGTAAGTGCTGAAGGAGCACTTTGCTGCTCAGTTGGTGATGACCAGGCAATGAAAGTATTTGATGTCGTCAACTTTGACATGATTAATATGCTAAAACTTGGGTAAGTCAAGATATGAATATCTGAATATTTTTGGTAACGGTAACTTGTATGACCTATCTTTCGTAATGGTAATCTGTATGGCCTCAGGTTTCACCCAGGCCAGAGTGAATGGATTTACAATCCTGGAGATGCCATTTCCACTGTGGCTTGCTCAGAAAAATCCACAGGCAAGATCTTTGTTTACGACGGACGGGGAAGCAATGAACCAATTCATGTATTTGACAAGATGCATGCTTCACCACTGACCCAAATCTGCTTGAATCCCAAATTCAGAGTGATTGTTTCTGCTGACAAAGCAGGAATGTTGGAATATTGGACTGGTTTACCAAATGAATTTAAATTTCCCAAGCATGTAGACTGGGAATACAAAACAGACACAGATCTGTATGAATTTGCAAAACACAAAACCTATCCCACCAGTCTGGCATTTTCCCCAGATGGAAAGAAAATGGCTACCATTGCGGCTGACAGGAAAGTCCGAATTTTTAGATTCTTCACAGGAAAACTCATGCGAGTGTTTGATGAATCATTAACTGTAAGTTTATGGTTCATAATTGTGCTGTAAATGGTAAGTACAATAAGTACATCAGGGTATTTACTATTCTCTTGACTCATTAGATGTTCACAGAGTTGCAGCAGATGCGACAGCAGCTTCCTGATATGGAGTTTGGAAGGAGAATGGCTGTAGAGAGGGAACTTGAGAAGGTGGATGGTGTCCGTTTGGCAAACATTATCTTTGATGAAACAGGACACTTTGTCCTCTATGGAACTATGCTTGGAATTAAAGTCATTAATGTAGAAACCAATAGGTACAGCCTTTTTTTTTCTCAGTATGCATTGCAATACATTTTAAATTAAACCACTTTTTGTTCACAGATGTGTTAGAATACTTGGAAAACTTGAGAATATCCGTGTAGTTCAGCTGAGTCTGTTCCAAGGTGTAGCAAAATCCATGAAGGTTGCACCAACTGTTGAGATGAAGGCATCCGATAACCCAGCACTACAAAATGTAGAAGCCGATCCCACCATATTCTGTACTGCATTTAAGAAGAACCGTTTCTATTTGGTAATACTTTAACTAGCCTCAATAAGAGCCTTTTGTCTAGTGATGCAACATGCAACAGTTCTTTTTTTTTAGTTTTCAAAGAGAGAACCAGAGGATACCAAGAGTGCTGACTCGGACAGAGATATCTTCAATGAAAAGCCATCAAAAGAGGAGGTGATGGCTGCAACACAGGCTGAGGGTCCTAAGCGTGTCTCTGACAGTGCCATTATCCATACAACTATGGGAGATATTCACATTAAATTATTTCCTGTTGAGTAAGTTGCTTGTAAAAAGCTTTCTCCACAAACTGCATTTATTTCTTACAATATAACAATTTCTTCTTTAGATGCCCCAAAACCGTGGAGAACTTCTGTGTTCACAGTAGAAATGGTTATTACAATGGACATATTTTCCACAGAGTAATTAAGGTATTTTTAAAAATTCAATTTCATATAATTGTCTGACAGTGGTTTCAGTTTTTATTTTTGCCTAGGGGTTTATGATTCAGACTGGAGACCCAACTGGCACAGGCATGGGAGGAGAGAGCATTTGGGGGGGAGAATTTGAGGATGAATTTCACTCTACCCTGAGACATGACCGGCCATACACACTTAGCATGGCCAACGCTGGGCCAGGCACTAATGGCTCTCAATTTTTTATCACCGTTGTACCAACCGTAAGTTCCATCATATTCATAATCTTTCTGTAGTAACTATCTTGAAAAGCCATATCTTCATCTAAATGTTTCATTTTCCCCAGCCTTGGCTTGACAACAAACATACAGTGTTTGGAAGATGTACAAAAGGAATGGAAGCTGTTCAGAGAATCTCCAATACAAAGGTCAATCCAAAGACTGACAAACCTTATGAGGACATAAGCATTATCAACATCACAATCAAATAATGTCATGTGATTCATAGTGATTGTTTTCATAATGGCTTCATTAAAAATATGTTGTAAAATAATCAGTGTCATGAGGTTTATTATTTAATTCTAATGTAGAAAAAAAAATATGGGGAG